CTTCGGACTACGACAAAACAGTTGTCACGTACTCCCCCCACCCGTTTTTCAATATAACGTAGTGGATGCCTACATGTTTACATCATTCTCACACAGATACAAATTTAAGAATATATTCTACCTAGATGTTTGTGTATAAATAGTAATATTAACTGAAAAATATACACAATATATATATTGATTGATATATAGGGGGTAAGTCAAATGATAGATTTACTAAGTGATTAAAAGTTTTCACTTTACTAATCAATAATGAGTCATTGAAAACCTTGATTTTCTTGTACAATTCACTTAATCCTCCCTCCTCCATCACAAAAAGCGTAAATTTTATTATCTTCATAAATCAATATAAAATGTCTGAAATATATTTAAAGCAAATATTATTCTGTTAGTGAAGAATAAGGAATTTTTATGAAAATATAATGACTAACTACGTTTATACATTTTGTATATATACATTGGTTGATCGTATAAGGGGTGCTTGTTGGACTGCTGAAATATACAAGAATAAATTTGTCCAATTTCTAGATCTCAGAGACTTCCATCTCCTTTGATTATTTTAGTGATACGCTTTATATCATTAGTTGATAATATATAACCTTTATTCTTTACACTGTATTTAAATCGTAGGGAAGAATTTAATTTTAAAGGAATATGGTCGGCCTGCGAAATTTGGGCTACCGATATCCATGCTGAAAATTCCATACTTGCACCAAAAATACAGTGTGGAATCAAGCTGTAAATCTAAAAAAAAATCTAAATCTATAATTACTGAAAAACACAAGTATGTACCGATCTCTTATAAAAATTTCCTTCTCGTTTATTGTTGAATTATTTCACAATAAGATGAAACAGATTTATTCAGGATGTGTATTTTCAACTGGGGTTGTTCTTTTAACTAGTATTGATTTACGAAGATTTCAACACACGTATCAATTTTTAAATTTTACTTAATTTGAAGTGTTTCTATTCTAGCCATTATCGATTAAGCAAAAAAAAAATTAGGGAATGAATCATTTTAGTATGGCGTAAGCCTTACTTACTAACTAAAACTCTTTTGAGTTTGAAGAATAACTGACTCAGATATATTATTCTATAGATGAAAAAAACTAACGACAGAAGAAATGAATTTCTTTAGAATGGCTGGTAGACAAATAGTTATATGACAGTGTGTATGTATAACCATTCAAAGCTTTACTTAGTTTGACCTTCTAAGTATCAGTAACGCTGATGTTCATACCAAATCTCCTCTATTTTCCAAGTTTTTTTTCAAGTGTTGGTTTGTAGGGATTTGATTGGTTTGCGGGATTTCATCATGAGCTGATATCGGTTAGAGGACCATTGGAAAACCTGCAAGGAGTACTGGACAGCTGTTTTGTCCTAGTTTGGGACTCTTCATCAGCACACACCCACCAGGATTCAAACCCAGGACATTTTGATTACAAGGCGAGCTCGTATACCATTAAGCCACTGGGACCCGATCCAATGGCTCTTGAATTCTAACTTCTGCTATTTCACGACATAGTGCGACTCCTAGCCAATGTCTTCGGCAAGCATTTGTCCTCACACCCGACCCGCAGCACCTTACTGGACAAATACTAACCGAAGACATTGGCTAGGAGTCGCACTATGTCGTGAAATAGCAGAAGTTAGAATTCAAGAGCCATTGGATCGGGTCCCAGTGGCTTAATGGTATACGAGCTCGCCTTGTAATCAAAATGTCCTGGGTTTGAATCCTGGTGGGTGTGTGCTGATGAAGAGTCCCAAACTAGGACAAAACAGCTGTCCAGTACTCCTTGCAGGTTTTCCAATGGTCCTCTAACCGATATCAGCTCATGATGAAATCCCGCAAACCAATCAAATCCCTACAAACCAACACTTGAATATCAATGAGATGCTCACTAACGACTTGCCCTATTCAGGTAGGTAGTTCTGAGGTTCTAGTGAGAAGACATCACCAAGTTTTTTTATTGACTCTTGAACTAGACAGTTTTAGTTAGGGGGCATTCAAATGAAGAATCGACGCATGAATGATTCAGTAGCAAGTAGATATTACTGAACCTTGGTGGATTGCGATAAAATGACTTTTAATAAGCTTTATACATGAATATATATATACATATATAACTGTTAGATGTGTGGAGATTGTCGACAGGAGGTCATCCAACCAGGTTTCCTGCTTGATAACAGTAGTCAGAAAGGCGTATCTGAAATCGAAAATGAAACTCATGTCTCATCTGAGATCCGGACATAGGTCACCCTGTGCTGTTGTCAGAGACGTTCCCACTGAGCTATTCGGACTGGCAACTAATCCGGCTTTGAATCTTCGAAAGGCCATAAGTTCTTTGTTGAGGAGCGTCGAGTGGCACAAAACCTAGTTTCAAGACTTCCTGCTGATTGCCTCCAAACATCCAACAGTAATTCACCCCATGATGGCAAGCGAACTAGTATAGTGGCCACATTGGAAAACTTGACTGATGGAATTTAGTCACCAAGTAAAAGACTCATGAAATTAGTTATTGCCTACCGTCTGAACAATAAATATATATATGTGTCCACATGAAGTTACGATTAAATGTTACTTTGCATATTTTTGTTGCTTTATTTAGCCTAAATTCTTGAGAGGACTACTGAACTGATCAATATAACCAGCAAAAAAAGAGGTTCGGATTGTTCTGAATTCCATGGAAATCATTTTAAAACAGATTTCAGTTTATCTCTTTATCTGGTCATCGCGCAAAGTAGTTTCAGGTTGAACATTCCATATAAATATTGTAGCATTATTTATTATTTTATTCCTTTACGTTGAAGTTTCAGTAGCAGTGGCGTTTATTTTTACGGGATGGGGTTGCTAGCCTCATGCTCAACCTTCCATCTATATCAGTCTTATTACTGGCTTAGGGAGGTGAAGGAATGGATCTGTGGCCGGGAATCGAACCCCTAACCACACAGTGTGATTGGGCGAGCATTCTACTGCTGTGTCGCCGACGCAGACGTAGAATTTTGGACTCTTCAGCAGTGCGTACCCACCACAGGGGTTCGAATCCAGGACCTCTTAGTTACAAGGCAAGCTCGTAGACCATTAAGCCACTGGAACCCTACAAATATTGATTTAGACATAAGGTTAACAAATCTAACAGAGTATTCACAAACCAACTATTGCATAATTTCTGAAATTATTCAGTAAAAATTAATTATGTTTCAAAGAAATAGTCTCCGAGGTCAGTTGATTATCCGATATTTCTGTGGAGTAAATGGGGAGGTCGGGTTAACTGAATTTCTTACACAGAATTGCATCACACTTGAATTGATAAACATATTGGTAATAAATACAATCAAAATGATGTTGCAAAATAAGAAATGTTCATTATAAAACATAGAAAATAATTCAATGAAGGTTAATAATGTTGATGACGGTTCGAACTTTAAAGTAGATGAATAGCAATAAAGCTCCCCATTAATCAACAACCTTGTCAAAGAAAATTATAACACTATATACTAAATGAGTGTGATGTTATCATAATTTATTAATCTAGGTACATTATTTCATATGTACTCTAATTATATATATTTTTGTAAATTTTCATGTAAATCTTTGACATGCAGAGTAATAATAGCACTTACTACATTTATCTATCAATTTGTTACTGAATAACAGTGTCATAGTGTTTGAAATGAGTGAATGACATAATCACTTTTTGTTTAAAGACTCAATAAACTGACAAGACACATTCTATAAAATCTTCATAAATGTCACAAAAATTTGATGATAACATTGATAGTAAAGTTTACAAAGAATAGATTTGAGTGAAATACAATTATTCAGTTGAATGTTTTAAAAATGAACTCTGCACCTACTTTTCATCATTCATCTTTAGGATATAGAAATCGAAAATTAGATTGTCTAAAGAAGAAGTTTCATCTCAGTCTGGGTTATTTTGATGTTCATGTTCAAAAATAACGTTTTTCTGAGATAGTATCTAGAGCTATGAGTTCATACAAAAGGCATATTACGTTTGATGATATTAGATAGTTGCAGGCAATCGGTCACAGAGAGCCTTCAACTTAGGTTTCGTGCTAGTTGGCAATCACCAGTCAGAAAGATGTAACTGCAGCCTTGAAGGAACTCATGTTCCTTCTGAGATTCGAACAAGCGCCACCTAGTGCTGCCTACAGTTTGAGTCGTTACCACTGAGCTATTCGGGCACGCGATTGAACTCCTGTAGGAATGTAGTGGGTATTTGAATTAGACAGTACTAACTAGTGTCCAATCAAGCATATTACGTATTATTCAATCAGCTAAATAGGATATTGGTGTTCTGTCAGTTATTAACAGAAAACAGTCAGAGAATAGCTGAGGTACTGATAAGAAGGAATATATTGTTAAATAATGTTCACTAAAAGACAGTTGTTAATAGTCAAACGACTCAAATTACATACTAAACAGCTTAATAAATTCGTTTCATTTTCCTTAGTTTCAACGTTTGTGGTAATTACTTTTCAAGTGTAAACAGAACTCATTTAAGGCAAAACATTCTGATAGCTGCTAATAGGATTTTTCTAAACATTTCACAGAATTTCAGTTTTCGGACATTACATTACCATAAACATATGTTTTTTTCAAAACTCTTCACTACAAATTAACTTCAGTTAGAGAACTATTGTAAACCAGGAAGTACTGGACGTCGATTTCATCCTTGTTTAGGACACTTCAGCAGCTCGCTTCAGTGATCTCACTAGGGGCCCATCCAGGAATTACAGTTTGACTAGATAGTATAAGAGTAACCTGAAGGTGCTGGGTCATGGATGCTTGCTACTTAAGAGTCCTAAATAAGGACGAAACAAACGTCCATTACTCCCTTGTTTTAGATGATTCTCTTAATGACGTTGGATCCCGATCAAAATTTAAATCATTCAAAATATTTTTCAATAATTTTGAAAGGAATAAAGTTGAATAGAAACTCAAAAAACAGTAAACGTTTACAAGTACACTAACTTACTATGTACAATAACTGATAATTCTTCATATTTCTTATCCATTTTTCTATTTTGTGTCATATTATTATCCCCATGACAGAAAATTTCTCCTGATAAACCTTTTTTATCATCCTCATCATTTTCATCATCATTATTATTTACTTCACTAGAATATGCAATAAGTTTTGTTGGTAATTTAGTAAATTTCGGTGTTACAACAGTTGCTGATATTGGTGTCATTTTCCTCGATTCATAAACAATAACATTTCCAATTTCTTCACCTTCACCACTGACATCCTTCTCAATATCAGAAGCTGATTGACTATCTGTATCATCATGACTCAACTCAATTTTATATTTATTATTACGATAATGAGATGATGTTGATGTTTTTGGTTTTTTACGTGATAATGTCTGACAATCATCATTATCTGTTTGTACATCTGCATATAGTGTACGATCAATAAATCCATCAGAATCACTTTGTGCAGTTGTATAGGCTTCTTCACTACCTGTACCAGCTAATCGACTACATACAGTTACATAAGAGTCTACTTCACTTACAACACTTTCTTGACTTATTGTTGATAACATGGATACTAAAGAACCTGAATCTGATTTATCTAAGCTTTTGTTATTTTTATTACTAATGATTGGAGTATCAGTAGTTGAAACACTCGTGGAAGCAATAGTACTAGTCGTAGTTATAGTGTGTAATATATCCGCGGAAAGTGGACGCTGTTGTTGTTTTTTACAATTCTCACTATTAACAGTTGAATTCCCTGCTTTTTTACGTCGTAATATAATAAGCTCAGGTGTTTGTAATCCAGAATCGCTAATAGTGATATCTTTCGCATGAAATACAAATGATTCACTGTAGTTATTATTATCATTAACTTTATGCTTTAAGGTATTGTCAAGATCGGTGTATTCACCAGTTTCTGTAATATTATGTTGTTCAACATTATTATTAGCATTATTAGATGACAATAATTTAAATTCTTCATTTGTTGATTGATTTGTCAATAATTGATTATTTCGACTATAGTCAGGTATTGACTTGTATGCTTTAGAATTATTCTCTTTTAATAATACTTGCTGTTGTTCTGTAGTTGTTGTTGTTGTCGTATAATGAATATTATTATTCACTGGTGAATCATGTTCTGATGATGACCAGTCATCATCATTCTCTTCTGAAGCTTCATCGATTGTTGTCAATGAATGTCCATTATCATAGAGTTGAAAATCTTCACTATTTAATGATACATTATTACCATTAGTATTACTATGCATATTATGCTCAATTTCCTCACGGTTATTACTGTTGTTACTACTACTATTTCGTGAATAATTAGCACTGATTGGGAATGTAATTGTATCATCATTTGATATAATAATATTATGTAATTTTACTTCATCTGAAACATAATTACTAAATGTTGGTGAAATAGCTGGTGATAGACTGCTGCTTTCTGATTCAGTATTACTATTTTCATGATGTTCAGGTTTATAATCGTCTAGATCAGTTTCAATAACTGATTGATGATCATGTGAATTAAAATTATATCGAATTATTTCATCATCATCCTCGTCTTCGTCATCTCCGGCATCTCCTCGTTCTCTACTGTGCATATTCACATCTGTAAATGATTTATCATAGAATGGATCATGAAGACTAAAATCTGATGGAGATCGCCAGGTTTTCTGTAGATATTTTTCTTCATTATTGTTATTATTAATATCATTATCATCATTAGTAGTTGTACTAGCATCAGCAACTTGATGTACAAAATCACAATCCAATAATTTCTCTTCATTATCAAAGTCAACATTTTCTCTTACAGATCGTATATGTATATCCATAAATTCATCTTTATCAGTCAATAATAATATCGGCTCGTCATCCATACATTTAAAATTATCCATAACATCTTTTCGACTCGATGAAATTGAGGATGGAATTCGTGGTGGTGGTGGTGGTGGTGTTGGTCTCGATGATTTTGTTCTTGTTGTTCCTGGGGGTGGTGGCGGTGTCGTCTTCATTGTCGACATTGTTCTCGATGATCGAATTAATTCAGGTGATGTTGGAGTTGTTTGATTTAAACGTTCTGTTAAGACATCAATATCACGACGGACAGATTGTAATAAATTTTCCATAGAATCATATCTTGCTTCTGTTGCTTGAATCCATTCTTCAGCGATAGCTAAGGGTCTTCCTTGATACTTTGGGACTGTATTATTACTATTATTATTATCATCAGTATTCATTTCAGGATTACTATTTTTAGTACTCATTATATTTTGTGTGGAGTGTGAAGAACTTTGAGGAATATTCCGGCTTATTTCATCATTCATTTTATTCAGGCTGAATTAAATGCAAACAAGGTATGTATGCGGAAAAGGAGTTATACACTTTTGATAGATTTCCATTCATTAAGAAGCTTATACACTACATTGATTTAATTCCACTAATCAATATAAATAAGGATATGTACATTTCCTCTTTTTTTGTTAAATAAAATTTTTAAAAAATTTTCATAAATTCAACAATTAAAAAAATTTTTTTTCCACAATTTTTGTTATAGATGGAAAAAAACAAAAGATGTTTACAGTGATAAAGATGTTAAAGTATGGTAACGATTAATCCATAAGCTACACGTCAATTAGAGCAGTTGTTGATAACTTATTTTATTCAACTCTCTATGTATGTGTGTACGTGTGTATGCATGTATGTATTTTAGTTCATATAACATTTCTGTGCATATACTTATATGCATAAAGCATTTGATGATTTCATTGTTTAGATGATGAATACTAAAAACACTTCCAACCAACCAATCAATCAGCGAGCACAACTTGATTTTGATTGGTCAATTTTTCGTAGAGAGAAAAAAAATTAGTGTAAGGAAAGAAGCACCATTTATTTAAATCGTTATTATTAATGGTAAACAAAATTTAAGGGAGATTTTTTTAAATAGTACTAAAATAGCTCGTTTATATGAATGGTTGATTACTTTTGTAATATTCACCGATAGCAGAAAATAAGATTAATGTTGCGATTATTTGTGATCAGACACTTCTTACACCAGATATATAATCCTGGAAGACAATAAATCACCTTTAAGTAATTGATTTTACCGTTTTCCTTGTTTGTCTTTAGGCAATTTACAATTTATACGTGTTTATTGAGATAAAGTTGTTCAAATCTGAAATATAAAGAAAAGGAACATTAGAATACATTTCATTAAATAAAGAAAAAGTTATTTCTTATTATAGAAAGTCACGAATTTTTGATAGTGTATATAGTCTTTTATTATTTACACGTTCTCCCATTAGTTTAAGCTTTGATTGGACAGTAGTTGGTAATTAGTGTAATGTGTCTAGTTTTTTCTTCGGTGCAGACTGAATTCTATCAGTCCGGACCGCAGTGTGGCCGCCATTGTTGGTGACTAGCCATCACGGTGCACATTGATTTGATGGTATTAGATGGTTGAGGCAATCGGCCACAGGAAGCCTTCTACCTAGATTTCGTGCTAGTTGGCACTCACAAGTCAGCAAGGTGTATCTGCAGCTTTGAAGGAACTCACCTCCCTTCTGTGATTCTAAGCCATGTCACCCAATGCTGCAGTAGGAGACGTTAGTCACTATTGTCCAATCAAAGCATCCACTACAATCCTACAGGATGTTAACCGCTAGCCCGAATAGCTCAATTGTAACGTCTCTGACTGTAGGCAGTACTGGGTGACGCGGGTTCGAATCTCAGAAGGGACATGAGTTCCTTCAAGGTGACAGGTATGCCTTTCTGATTGGTGAGTGGCAACTAGCTCGAAACCTAGGTCCAGGCAGGGGTTCCTGCAAATCGCCTCCAACCACCTATTATCATCAAAAGTGTGAGCTTTGCTGAATATGAAAACTAAAAGTTAGGTTATAGTCTGTTAATGCGACAGTACATTTCTACCACTAGTTCACATTAACACTGAAGACACCAAATGCGAAGGTGCTTTACACGTCACGATTCGCAAAATGAATAAACACATAACTTACAAGTAAGCGGCTTTTCCCATTACTATTCAGTTTCTATGTGTCGAAATCTAACCGGCTATCAGTCTCAAATTTTCCTATTCAGCATTATGATGTTATAAACCTAACATGTTTCAATTCATGATATAAGAATAAAACTTGTGCACTGTGGTAGAGTGTAATTCCATTATGGGTAAATTTTTGTTTTGATAAAGTCTCACAGTGGTGTTATACAGACATGTTTACTGATGACCAGGTTTCCAGCACAATTTATTGCTCATAATCATATCAAGTTAATCACACGACTTCCTAATTTCATTCATATAGTTCCATTATTTTTCACTTGATTTGATTGGCTCATTTCTATTGCATGTGTTTGGTGTAGACTCGATGAACAAGGATTCGGTAATCAACATCTCTCTCCACCTATCTAGATTACTTTCTAGAATTTTAACCCTCTCCCACACTTGTGGTAATGCATGCATTGCAATTGCTGAGCTTTTCTCCAAATTACTTATCTTCTCGCGATAAACCATCCTTACCCGAGCTAAATTCTTATGTTCCGACAATCTGACTACCCATGACCTACTAGTTTGACCTATGTAGTTGACCTCACAGTCATTGCAAGGTATTTTGTGAATTATATTATTTTGTATAATTGGGTCAACTGGGTCCTTTCATTTTACAGAGCTTGTCCTACCTGAGTGAGTTTGTAGGTTTAAATGCTACCCTAAATCCTGCTTTATTTAGAATCCTACATAGGGTCTCAGATGTCCCCTCTTTATATAACTGTATAACTGTAGATGACTTATAGTCTCTCTTATTTATGTTATTATTACTAGTTTCACAATTATTTTTCTTTGGTCCTTTTTCGATCTTCCTAATGAATTTTATAGGATGGTTATTTATTACCAACGCTTCTTCTGTCTGTTTTATTTCATCATTTAGGTCTTTTCTTGTGCTACTTAGTGCCACTGCTCGGTCTGTTAAACACTTAATTAAGCCTGCCTTAACAGTCAACGGATGAGATGAATTAAAATCCAAATATCTATTAGCAGAATGAGTTGGTTTTCTGTACACACTAGTGTGTAGTTTGCCTTCTTCTATTCGTTTTATTTTACAATCTAACATGATAGCTAATTCTCCTTGTTCATTTTCTGATTCAAATGTGAATTTTATTCTTTTTACTAGTGAGTTTACACGTGTCAAGTAGCTAGACATATGTTCTGTCTTTATAAACAAAAAGTGTTTAACAGCAACAAGGAGATCACTGCTTCAAATACTGATGGGTGCGGGCTGATGAAGGATCTCAAAGTAGAACGAAGCAGCTGTCAAGTATTTTTCTAGTTTGTTAGTGGTTCTCTAACTAGTGTAAACTCTGCATCAAACCTGTAACCAATCAAATCTCTGCAAAACAATACTTGAAAACTCCATTTTAGTTTCGTTAGCTAGGTATTAATGATTATCGAATGCAACGTAATAAGTAAAGTAAGAGTGTTATTAATTCCGCAAAATCCTTCCTTAGTCCAAAATGGAACCATAATGATTGAATATTATTTCGCAGTGTGATGTATTATGTGATCCGATGGCTGATTATTTGGTTGTAACAGTAACTCAGTTCTTTTATACAAGGTTTCCAGGTAAGGCCTTTATTATGTCTTACTAATGAAGATATTTGTGTAAGTCGGTGGTATAGCGGTAGAGTGCTCGACGACCACACAGATGGTTCGGGGTTCGACCCCCGGCCGACGCACTCCTTTACCTCATTAAACCAGTAGTAAGACTGGTAAAGAGGGAAGGTTGGACAAGAGGCTAGCAACCTTATCCTGTAAAAATAATCATCAGTGCGACAGAAAGTTCAAGCTTCCAGCATGAAGCCCTGTGTGCCACTGGGAACGTGAAAGAATCAGTTTGGAAATCTTCTTTTATTTATTTACTTTTTTGATTTACAGCTTGATTCCACACTGTATTTTTGGTACAAGTATGGAATTTTCAGCATGGATATCGGTAGCCCAAATTTTGCAGGCCGACCATAGATATTGGGTGTGCGTCGGTAGGGGATCAAACCTCGGACCATGTGTATGGTCGGCGAGAGTCCTCACCACTGTGCCACCGACGCACAGCACTTGGCATAAACAACATGATTAGAACTTTCAACACCAATGTAAAGTCATTTCTTCTATATGGGTCAGAAACTTGGGGCATCACGAAAAACATTTCTAACAGGGTTTAGATTTGTATCAATAGCTGCTATTGCTGGCTTGATAGGGAAAATCAAATGGTCATTCAGAAAGAATTAGCTGCCAAAAAAGAACTGGGAACGAACTAATGAAGAACCTATTTCTCAACAAATATTCTGAGGAAAATGTAGATAAATAGAATACACGTTGCGGACACCGCTGAATGACATTGCGCACCAGGCCATCGCCATGTTGCAATCCGAAAGGGAAATGACGAGTTGGCCGCGTGTCCAAGGGTGACATGGAGAAGATCGTGTGAGGAGGATCTGAGAGACTATGGGTAGTCATGGGGCAAAATGAAGAGGACCTTAGAGAATAGGACAAAGTGATATGCTTTTGAAGCCCTGTTTTGCTCTGGGAACCCAAGCCAACTATAATAAAAATAACAGATGAAGACATCTGAAATTTACTCACTATCAGAACAAAAAAGAAAATTAGCCTCAGTCTGAAAATAATTGTATTTCCCGGTGAATGAAAGACAAACGATACTGTTTTTGGTGGAATTTCATTATTTAATACTCCGATTAAGCAACTAGATAAATTGAAATTTTGTAAATTCTGGTTTCATATTAATCTGACAAAGCAAAACGTCAGTTCAAACATTGTGACTTCGCTTTTCATACATTGGGCAATACAAAACATTTTCGCTGTGATGAATATCATATACATAATGCCTAACTAGCTACGCACTCCTGAAGAGTCCCAGAATGGGACGAAACAGCTGTCTAGTGATTCCTGGTTTTCAGTGTTCTTTCTCTCTCCCTAACTGGTGTTGGTTCAAAACAAAGATCTAACAATTGAAATTAATCCAAAGTTCCCATAAATCCGATAATTTCAGTAATACCTTAATTAATTTATGGTTTATAGGTGTTTTTTTAAAAATTATATGCATATATAAACATATTTATGTTAACTTTTCATTCTTTTTGCACCTTTATTCTTGCTATCATTATCATACATACTATTGTGGTTAATAATTTCTGTGCCAATTATTGTTTATATCTACACAATATCATTACACAAATATTAAAGTTCAAGTTTTATACACACATATTATTTTAATGTTTTATTTTCATAAAAAACACTCTAAATGATTTGAATATTTGATGGTTTCTAATTTTAGCATTATTATCATCACCATCATCAGGTGAACAAACTCATTCGTAGATTTCAAGGTGTTTTGTGCTATGCGTTTTCCAAATCATCGAATTTTAAGTCGTTCAGCGTCTAAAGTTGTAGCACAAAAATATTGATCTTGAATTTATTTTAATAAATACAATTTTAAAAAAGCAAATAACTTTATAGTCATTCTGACTACATCTGTAATAGACGTTTAATCTAATGAAATTATGTACACGTATAATGCATTCTTCTTTCTCATAAGCCATGTCAATTTAACTAAAAAAACATAATAGGCACTATAATCTACTCATAAATAATTAATAAATATTTTCATGATAAGCTGACATTAGTTAGAGAACCACTGGAAACAAGCTGGGAGTACTGGACAGCTGTTTCGTTACAGTTTGGGACTCTTCGTCAGCACACACTCACCACCACAGTTCGACCCAGGACCTTCTGGTTACAAGGCTAGCGAGCTCGTATACCATTAAGCCACTGGGACCCGATCCAATGGCCAGCTCATGAATTCTAACTTCTGTCAATTCACGACATAGCGCGACTCCTAGCCAATGTCTTCGGTGACTATTTGTCCTCACACTCGACCTGCTGCACCCTACTGGTCACGACTTCTCACTAGAACCCCAGGTAACTACCTACCCGAATAGGGCAAGTCCCTAGGGAGCATGTCATTGATATTCAGGTGTTGGTTTGTAGGGATTTGATTAGTTACAGGATTTCATCATGAGCTGACATTATTTAGAGAACAAAACAGCTGTCCAGTACTCCCAGGTTTTCCAACAGTTCTCTAAGTAATGTCAGCTCGT